TTTACGAAAGCATGCTTGTAATGCAAGACATCCCTTAGCATCAAATATGTTGAGTTCCACCTGGTTGTAACATCAAACTTAATGCCCTTTGAAGTATCCAACCCACACTCTCTTGCACACTTTATGAGTTCCTCCCATTGCAAGGTAGATCCGTTTATAGTTAGTGACAATGATTTCATCTTTCTAAGAGCTTTGTTAATAACAGCTAGCCCATCCCTAGCAACTAAGTTGAGAATGTGACATGCACATCTAATGTGAAAAAACGCGCCATCACAAACCAAAGACGCATTACCATTCTCTATAAGGTCATCAATTAAATCAGTAACAGCCACCAAGTTGTTTGATGCATTGTCTAAAGTCGAGGCAAATAATTTCTTCTCAACAAACCACTTAACCATGACTTCAGTAAAAACCTCAGCCAGCGTGTGACCAATATGTCATCCCTCTACTTGAAAGAAAGTTGCTATTCTCTTCTGAATATGCCAATTATCATCTATCCAATGTAAGGTGACACTCATATAAGACTTGTTTTGACATGATGTCCATATGTCCATGGTAGTACTAAAACGACATGTGACTGTTTTCAAATATGCATATAACTTCTCCTTCTCAGCTAGATATATATCCATTATTTCCTTTCTAGTCGTGACTCTAGACTTCAATGGAAAGCCAGGCCGCAAAGACTTGACAAATTCAACAAAATAGTCATGCTTAACAATATTGAAAGGATACTCATGCATGATTATTGCCAAATATAATTTTTCACACTGGCCTCTTGATCATACATGTAGGGTTGTATTGCTACGACATCTTTCCCATTATCCTTTTCTGCCTTGAGCTGTAGCTGCCCCTTTACAATGTTATGTGATAACTTTAGATGGTTCATGAATCCAGTAGTGCCATTGCTACACTCAGCTCTATACTTCGTATTGCAATTTGGGAAGTTGGAAAAATCCCATAGCTGCTCATATTTCTTTCCATTCACCTCGATTACCACATTTTTCTTGGTAAAATAGTTCCACACCTCTGATGTGCACTTTTTCTGTCTCTTCCCTTTACTAGGAGTAACTTCATCTGCCACTCCATCATTATCATCATCATCATCATCAACGGCACTGCGACACGTTCGGCACCTTGGCCCTGTCTCTGCGCGTCACAACCATCAATACCTGGTTGTTGTCCCTGTGTTTCTGCTGGTGTGCCAGTGCCACTATCAGTGCCAGTGCCACTACCACTAAGTGGAATTTCATTAGTACTTTGCTGCTGAAGATGAAGACCTAGACACAACAAGTGCCCCTTACTAGCAACGTCACTTGCTTTCCTCTTGGACCCTATCAATTAGTTAAAATGCAACTTGTATTAATGTCTACTACAAGTCTGCAACTGAGAACCTAGAGTAAAGACTACAAATCCAAGAACCTAGAGTGCGAGAGGAGGTTTACCTGAAACTGAAATAAATCCGCTCGTGCTGCCTTTGATAGAGGGAGGTGGCATCGGCGGTTCTAGAAGGCGAAGGTAGCTCGACAGGCCCAGGTGCTTTTTAGGTGGCATGGAGCCACCACGGTCTTCTCCTCCAGTCGGCGACATCGGTAGGACAGAGAGTCAGGGACAACTGAGGGTCAGAGCGTGCGACGGAGTACGGACGGGGAAGTGGGGATGGCAGGCGGGAGAGGCAGCGTCGGCGTCGTCGCGCCGACGCCGAGGGGAGGCAAGTTGCGACTCTCCGCCTGTGGAGTGTGGAACGGGGCAGGAGACGCTGGAGTGTGGCGCCAAAAGCGGTGGGTCGGAGCTGGATAGCGATGGGATAGGGTTTGCGTATTTTGGGCCGCATTGGGCTTCTAGGCTGTGCTGGGCTGCTTATCCCGGATTGATGAAAAACGGGATGCAAAACGGGATATCCCGATCAAAAACAGGATTTTGCAAATACGGACCGACAAATGCTCCACCGTTTTCGGTCCTGCTCTTGTTTTACACCGTCCGTTTCCGTTTATGCCGGAAAAAAATGAAATCGGACGAGAAAATATGGTATACAGTTGCGGACCAAACGATATTTATCTCGTACGTTTTCAACATTAGTCTTGAATGTGGGAGTTTTCACTTTGTTTTCCCCGAAACACGGATATCGTTGCAGTCTGTTCGTTTCGTCGTAAACGATTGTGGATTATTTACTGCTGACTGATTTGACTGATTCGTTGTAAAAAAAAAATACTATTCTAACTTATAATCCACGATCATATAAGATCATATAAGTCCAGCCGAATAGGCTGCAAGTTCTACTACTGAAGAAATCACAACAGGCTGAACATGGATGGAGTACGGTAGTGTACACAGCGGTACTCCGAGCAACCACAGTGTTGCCTGAAACCAGTCCATTATGCCTTGTTTAGTTTCACCTCAAATTTCAAAAAGTTGCTACAGTACCTGTCACATCGAATGTTTGCGGCATGTGCATGGAGCATTAAATGTAGACGAAAAGAAAAACTAATTGCACAGTTTGGTGGGAAATTGCGAGACGAACGTTTTAAGCCTAATTAGTCCATGTTTAAACACTATTTGTTAAATAAAAACGAAGATGCTACAGTAGCCCCAAAATCCAAATTTCGCGAACTAAACCAGGTTTAAATATTCAGTAGCTGGAACAGTGTGTGACTGGCTTGTCCATAGTTAAAGTCGACTATAGGCTTACGGACCGCTATAGGCAATAAAAAATATTACTCTCTCTCTCTCTCTTCGTTTCTTCCTGTGTGTTCCTGCTCTCCGCCCCGGCCTTGGGGACGCCGCTGCAGCCATCCACACCGTCCTTGAGGAAGCCGCTCGCGAGGACGCTGCTCCAGCTATCCTGGTACTAGCTCCTTGCCGGCGGGCGCAGCGACCGGGGACTGAGAGACGCGGAGGGCGGGGCGGCGGCGGCGGAGTCCGGCACCAGCAGGGACCGGAGGTCCTTGAGAGACGGGTTGGGATGGAGAGGCGCGGGGACGCGTCGGTAGCGGGGATGAGGGCGGTGGACGTGGAGGCGGCGGCGGATCGGAGGCGAGGTGCACAAGCGAGCGAAGGCGGCGGCATGGGCGTCGGAGGCCCACGAGGCCGCCGACCGAGCGTTCCGTCCACGCCCCCACGCGAGGCCGTCGCCGGAGCCTCCACGAGGTCGCTGACCCTACCATCCACACGTGGCCACCCTCGCTGACAGATGGGTCCCGGGAGGAACCGGGGTCCAGCTCTCGCACGGCCCGGCAGCGTGAGTACGGGACGGGACAGCCATCGGCGACGCCGCCTGCGCTGATCTGTCGCCGTTCGATGATGCGGATCAGGCGTCGAGATCCGTGCCCCCGGCGCTGGTTGCGTTGCGTGCTACGGCGTCCCGCGGGCCCCATTGAAAATATCTACGTCTAAGGGCCTACCTGTCAGACGTGCGGACAGTGACGCGTGTACGGCCGTTGGCTGGCGGCCATTGAGCGGGGCGAACAGGAGAGCCATGAGGGATTGAGGGGAGGGGACGACGGATACGGAGGGAGACACGCGGAATCTGGCAAGCAGCCCCCACTGACAGCGGGGCAATAACGATGCCTCACGTACGGCTCCGTCGACAGCGCGAGCGCGAGCGAGCGGCCGCTTCCGTGGCGGGGGAAGATGGGGACAAGGTGTTGGTGGGACTCCAAACAGTCGCAGCTGTTTTGCACCCTGTATATACGATTTTAACATTAATGGCCTTGTTTAGATGGTACTCCCTCCGTCTCAGATTAAATAGACGTTTGGAGTTCAATTTTTTCTCAATTTAATCGATCACACACGTATACTGTACACGAGATCCAATGCAATACTAGGTTAACAGCAGGTGAACCAGCTCACGGAAGCATAAAAAAATCGACTCCGCCACCTCCGTTCAGACTCTGGAGTCATCTCAACCACTCATTCCATCATCAGCTGTATTTAAAAAATTAGACGATGGTTCCAGTCAATTCGGAGAATGCCTTCTGCCTCCGTACAGTCACGTTCGTACAGGGGCAAAAGTGTCATTTTAGCAGCTGCCTTGGTTTTCACGCTCAACTCTAGATGTGCAAATAATACGGGACGGATGGAGTAAGTTTTTTCACTCTCTGTATCACATCAAATCTTTAGACATATGCATGGAGTATTAAATATAGATAAAAAAATTAATTACATAGTTTGATCGTAAATTACGAGACGAATCTTTTGAGCCTAGTTAGACCATGATTGGACAATAATTATCAAATACAAACGAAAGTGCTACAGTGTCAAATACTGATTTCTTACCTCAATCTAATCGAGGCCAAACTGTGTGATACAAAATGAAAAGTGCTTGCCGTGGGAAATTTGGTACTCGTGAGTTTTGTACCCCAACAATGCTCAAACTGCTACGCCTCTGGTGGAAAAATGTAAAAAAAATCGCGGTGGACGAAGTTGACACGAGCACACACTGAAAATTTGGCAGAAACAACCCACATTCCAATATTCCACTTGGGCCTTGTTTAGATAGCCTTAAAATTCCAAGTTTTTTCACTCTCTTTATCATATCAATTTTTGGACGTATGCATGGAACATTAAATGTAGGTAAAAAAATAACTAATTACACAGTTTGGTTGTAAATCACGAGACGAATCTTTTGAGCCTAGTTAGTCCATGATCGGACAAAGTTTGTCAAATACAAACGAAACGTGCTACAATGTCCAGATTGCAAAAATTTGTAATCTAAACGAGGTCTTGAAACGAGGCAGCACAAAGAACCAAAAAGTTTTGGGAGCTCCGAGCCCCCAACAAGTTCAAAGGAGACGCCCCAGCCAAGAACAAACAGTGCTCTCTTTGGCTCTGCTTCCTCTCCACTCATCCTCACTCCACTGCACAGTCTCGCACTCTCTCGCTCAGCTCCGTTCCCCTCCTTTTCTCTTCTTCTCCTCCTCCCTATAAAGCGTCGTCCCCAGCCAAGACGGCAGCCTTAAACCTCCACTACCCCCAGCAGGCCAGCCCCACCAAGCCTCGCCGCAATGCCGCAGCACCTGCGCGTGCTCCTCGTCCTGGCGGCACTCACCGCGTCGCCGCTAGCCGCGGCGTGGCGCCCGTGGCCGCCGCGCGACAACGGTACGACGGGCGTGGCGGGCCTGGGCGCGTCGAAGAAGTTCGAGGGCTCGTCGGAGTTCGTGAAGCTAGAGTACCACATGGGCCCGGTCCTGGCTTCCGCCATCACGGTGCACCCGATCTGGTACGGCCCCTGGCCCGCCGCGCAGAAGCGCACGATCCGCGCGTTCCTCCGCTCCCTTGCGCCTCCGCCCGACGCCGAGGCCCGCATTCCTCCTCCCTCGGTCTCCGCCTGGTGGCGCACGGTGCGGCTGTACACGGACCAGACGTCCGCCAACGTGTCGGCGGCCGTGTCCCTAGGCGCGGAGAAGTCGGACGCGCGGATGTCCCGCGGCGCGCGTCTCTCCCGGATGGACATCCAGGCGGTGGTCCGCGACGCCGTGACGGCGCGCACCCGCCCGCTCCCCGTCGACTCCAGCGGCGGCGTGTACCTGGTGCTCACCTCCCCAATGTCTCCGTGGAGGACTTCTGCGGGCAGGTGTGCGGCTTCCACTACTTCACGTTCCCGTCGGTGGTGGGGTACACGCTGCCCTACGCGTGGGTGGGGAACTCGGCGCGGCGGTGCCCCGAGGTGTGCGCGTACCCGTTCGCCATCCCGGCGTACGTGGCGCCGGGGCGGAAGGCGGAGGCCCCGCCCAACGGCGACGTCGGCGTGGACGGCATGGTCAGCGTCATCGCGCACGAGCTCGCGGAGCTCGCGACCAACCCGCTCGCCAACGCCTGGTACGCCGGGAGTGACCCCTCGTTCCCGACCGAGATCGCCGACCTCTGCGAGGGGATCTATGGTACCGGCGGCGGTGGCGCGTATACCGGGCAGCTCCTCACGGACGCGCGCTCCGGCGCGGCGTACAACGTTAACGGCGCCGGCGGGCGGAGGTTCCTCGTGCAGTGGGTTTGGAACCCCGTGCTCAGCTACTGCTCCGGCCCCAACGCGCTCGACCAGTAGCGGATTCTAGCTGTCGCTGTTTCTGTTTCGGTTTCATTTCATCCGATGGAATGAAATTACCATCATCCATTGTCTTTGTGCAAGGATGGTGATCTGCTCTGCCTCTAGTGCATTGGATTTCATTCCTCTGGAAATCCATGGGATGCTTCTGTACAGAGTGGTTGGCTTTTCTGTTGGCTCCATGCTCTGAAATGATGGTGCTAAGCACAGCATCAGAGGACAGTGCAAACAATGCTCACTCTACCACACTGCAAAAAGACAAGGCCGTGCTGTGACTGTGAGCTACTCCTACTCCTACCCCCTCCATCCGCTCCAGTACTAAACTCTGACACGTACTGCTAGGTGTTAGGCTGATAGCCGCCGCTAATCACGGAATCAGTGCAGTGCAACAGTAGTTCAGGGATTGGAATGCAGCATAATGATTCCCTGGGGAGGAGGGTGGTGGTGGTTTGTTGGGTAGTGACTGCACTGGTAGCAGTAGTAGTAGGCTTTCACTTTCAGCTAGGTGTCCTTCTGCACCCACGCCCCACCCTCCCATGCCAGTGCGTGTGTGTGGGCACGCATTATTGACTGTTTATTGGCCTCCGACCGAAACAGTACCAAGGAAGACTATTGTGCGCTGCTGTGCTCTGGCGTCTCGCCTCCAACCAGATCCATTCGTAGACGCCACCCGTGCCTGCCTGCCCGCCCGCCCGTGTCTGTCGGCGTCTTGGACAGGCCGTGCTAATCGGCGAGGAAATGAATCGAGTGAATGATTCTCCGACAGTCCAGATTTTTCTTTTTAGGAAAAAATCATTTCCAGACTACTTCCTTTTATGAATAATCTTATTTACTTTTGTTTTGGCGGATAGGCGCATGCGTCTCTCTTCGTGTGCTGGAGGTTCCCTTTCCTACCGCGGTTGATGTCACCTTACAAAACATAAAACTTTTACTTTAAAATACTATAACTTCTGAACGGTGTATTAGTTTTTAATTTTGTCTATACCGGTGTGTTATACGCGACGAGATGAATAAAACTAGACTCCACTTACATATGTTTTAAAGAAAAAAAATAGTAATAATTTATTTGTATTAACTTATAGCCTATAACTTATATAAAAAACCGAGAAACTCAAAAGTTATAAAACACAACTTATTTACAAAAAAAGTTATTAAACACAAAAGAACGAATTAACTTATAACTTGTGACAAAACTTGCTAACACAAAAGCTCCTCACACACAAAAGAACAAATTAATTTATAACTTATACCAAAATTTAGAAAAAAAATATGAAACATAACTTATGTACAAAGGTTACGTGTGCAAAAGTTACCAAACATAACTTGTGTGCAAAAGTTATCGAACACAACTTATGCACATATATTATTCGATATAACTTTTGTACATTAGTTATTCAATACAATTTGTGTGCATAAGTTGTAAAGCATACTCTCCCAATCCAAAAAAAAAAAACTCATCTCCTAATCTTTTAGCACTTGGAAAAAAACCCTCCGTTGCGCGTAAAGATGCGCGGATTGAAAGTCGCGCGTATCCCCTCTGGCCGATCTAAACGCGCGTATAGTGTGGTCAATCTAAAGGTGAAAGGACGGAGGAAAGAATAAAAAGAAGTAAAGGGTTCCTGATGCAAATGTATGAGAGACAAACAATTTATAAAAGTGGTTAGGATAATTTACAAATAGTATAGAATTTGTGATATAAAATTGTATCATTATTTTAGGAGTGAATTATTAGAAACGGTTGGAGATGATCTTATTTAATCCTCATAATATTTTTATAGGAGTTGGAAAACAACATGTTTTTGAAATAAAAAATATGGTACTCTTGAGATGCTTATAAGTTAATATCCAAAATTTGTTATTAGGAAAAATAAATCGAAACATATGTAAGTGGGGTCTAGTTTTGTTTGCTTCGTCGCGTAGAACACACCAGATAGAATTGAAAATAGATACTTCGTTTAGAAGTTATAGCATTTTGAAATAAATAGCTTGATATTTTTTAGTCAGTGACGTCAGCCATGAAAAAGCGGGTGGGGAGGAGAGCTGCTGTCTGATCGTTCGCCGGTTCTGAATCGAATGAACGCCCGCTCAAATGGAATCGTGGTCTTGGACGGATGTTCTGCTCGGACTGTTCGTCCCTGTTCTATACTACTGTAGTATAGTACTATCTCTCACCGGCAGGCGTCCGTACAATCAACATACACTAATGCAAGCAGTAATAATGTGTTTCGCAGGACTCTTGGGAATCCAGATGATTTCCCAAACCCTTGTTTGTACAAGTACTGGACTACTGACAGTATTAGATCCAGATAATTTCGCTAATCCAAGCGAAATTTGTTACATAAAGTGCAGCTTCCACTGACTGCAACGCGCAATCCATCCAGCCGAGCCCATGCCCAGCCACGATGGAAACGGAATGGGACCCGGTTCGGCGTGCCTGACGACGGAGGAAATAGCAATTGAGGCAAGTTTAGAAGGTGGCGTAGGGAGACGTCGCACGAGGTGTTTGAATACTAATAAAAATAAATTATATAATTTGTCAGTAATCTGTGAGTAAATTTATTAAGTCTAACTAATCTGTCATTAGCACATATTTACTGTAGCACCACATTGTCAAATTATAGACTAATTAGACTTTAAAAATTCGCCTCGCAAAACGGTCTCTATCTATTTATTTTATTTCTTAATTAGTCTATATTTATTAATACTCTCTGTATATATCAAACGTCCCCTAGAACAGCGACTACACTGTAGAGGTGAATCAAACACCCCTCGAGCCGTCATGTCGTGCTATCGAGGCACGACACTAGTAGTAGGAGCAGTAGTGTACGCACTCCCATAGTCATAGCCCTACTCCTATCCTACAGGCGGTCATCAGTCATCATGGTCGCGGACAGCACTCGATGCACTTGCCTTGTGAGGCGTACCCGCCCGGCCGAGTCGTCGTCGCCATTCGCCAGTCGCCTGCTCTCCATCCAGGCGCCCGCCGTTCACCAGCGGGATCGATAGCAGCTTGTTTGTGACCCTGCGCAAATGCGATCGCGATCGGCCGCTGCAGCGCTGCCTGCCTCAGCTTCGTCTCTCTTCCCGGCCCGGTCGTGTGCGGTGCGGTGCAGCTAATGCTATAGACACAGTGCATTATTGCAGGCGCAGAGCCTGGACGTGCTGCTGGTCCAGGGCCATGCCACAGACATGGCGGGTCATTCCTTCCGGCACAAAAGCATCTGCGAACGGCATCGATCGACAGATCGGTTCGAGTTCACGACCGAACGGACACCACCAACGTTTGGAGTTTGGAGCACTCCTCTCTCAAGTCTGAACTGAACTCCATTCGCCGTTGTTCCCCCTTTCGTCCACCCTCTTCACTTGTCTCTCTGAACTCGGCAGCAATCATCCCTGTTCACTTGAACTTATCAGCTTGGCTTATCAGTTATGGTACGATGTTTTTCTCTCACAACAAATCAACGAATGATACTTTTCAGCTAGCTTTTCAATTAAGGTGAACCAGCCACCACTATTGAAAAAGCGCGAAACGCTCGTGGTGGTCTCTGCTGCACGCGCCGCTGCAGATGACATGAAACGCTGCCCGTTGGTCTGCTCCCGCAGCACGACGTGTCATCATCTTTCTTGGCGCTTACCCTTGCCTCTGATCCTCAAACCACCAAGAACTCGTCAGTTTTCATCTCTTCCAAGTTCCAGCTGCCGTCTTGGGGACAATCTCCTCGATCTACCTCTACTCCTATTTTGTACCTGCAGGAGGAGATGGGGTTCAAGATAAGTCCTTGATGGGTCTTAACAGGAAAAACCAGCGTGCTGTGTCCGCTAAGCCAGGCGAAACGGGAAAGGTACAGACACCCTTTCCAGCTATCCATGACCTCAGGACAAGCAGCCGCACAGCGCCTGGAGTTTGTTATCCTTGATTGAATGGTCTTAAAAATTTCAGGCACAGAATTTGGGTTGTATTGGGTGCAATGCCTTGCTTGATAGGAGTAAAGTGATAACTGCAGCTACCTGCATAGTTCATAGCTAGTGTCAATGACACCCCTGCACCGTTCCTTCCACAAATTCCAAGCAGGCGTGCAGCTAAGCTATGGTAGAGACACCTGAACGTAAACCATCTCTGAACCTGAACGTGCTGCCTGGTCCAGGGCCACAGAGATGGCAATTGTCAATCAACACAAAGTTTCAGTGAGGACCATCGACATAGCGGCCAGTACAACAATCTTTGTTGCTTCATTGTTATGTCTAATCTATAGCTCCTACCCGACTGGTTAGTTTCTTTGGAGCACTCCTCTCTGAAGTCCGTTTATCGCCGTAGCAGTTTCCTCCACTCGTCTCTGATGTCTGAATTCAGCAATCATGGAGGAGATGGCGAGCCAATAGAGCTGCACCACTACAGCATCCGCCACAATCACTGTTGGGGGCAGGGCCAGCCTCTAGGCACCCCAGGTCGGGTCCCGGACGCCGCCCCACGTTCGCAAGTAAAGACGCGCTTAATATTTTGCTCAGGCGAAATGGCAGAAAGCGTGAAAAAGGAGTGAGATTCGGCTGAAAAGGGACGACGGCGGTAGCGGCTACGTCTTTTCGCAATGTCGCCCGTGATCCGCGGCCTTTCTGGCTATTTCGCTTAGGCAAATGGGGCGGTGGCGTCGTCAGGCTGGGCATAGCTTATACGTAGCCAGTCGATGGTATGGAACGAGCGATTTGCCTGGACGAAACGAGCGGCTTGGCCTAGTTGGGCGCGGCTAGTCGATAAGAGCATGTTCGCTTGCTCGTAAACGATTGTAAATTTCTAGCCAGGAACAATGTTTTTCTCTCACACTAAACCAGCCAACAGTAAATAATCCACGATACGACACGGCCTCCCGAACAGGCTGAAGATGATTTGAGCTATTCGCCTGGGCGAATGCGATTCATCTAATCAGTTTTGCAGGTTTCGCCTTGGAAGGAGTTCGCGGCCCTCACTAGGCCGACAACCTCTCTGCCCGGTGGGGACCGCCTAG